TCACTGGTCAGATCACTGGTCAGATCACTGGTCAGATCACTGGTCAGTGGAAGTTCTGCTGTTCTTCTCATCTGGTTCTGGTCCATGAACAACTGGTTGAACCTCCTTCAGTCTCACTCGTCCTCACTGTGTCTCTGTGAACTGTCCTCTCTCTAAATGTGCCTGTAGAGTGACATTAGTTTATTTTCTTGAACGTTTCTTTGACAGTTCAACATTTTGAGCCCTGATTGAAAATGTTTGTGCAGATTAAATTTACAGCTCTCACTTTGTGTTGTTGTGATGATGATGATGATGGTGCTCCTGCTGACTTGAGATGATGTCATTAATAAACAGTATAAATGGCAGTAAATGTACTTTATTAAAGCTTGTAAATGGCAGTAAAAGTACTTTATTAAAGCTTTCCTGATGCATGCTCAATAATCCAGGTAGAAAAATCCAAAAAAGTTCAATCTGGTCCTCTGGACATTCAAAAAAAACAAAAAACAAAACAAAGCAAAAAAATGTAGAAACGTTTCGTCTCTCATCCAAGAGACTTTCTCAGTCTGAGGAAGTCTCTTGGATGAGAGACTAAACGTTTCTAGATTTTTTTTGCTTTGTTTTGTTTTTTGTTTTTTTTGAATGTCCAGAGGACCAGATTGAACTTTTTTGGGTTTATTAAAGCTTGCTTTACATTTTACATCTTTTATAATAAATTGTTTTGGAAATTTATTTTTGCACAGTTAACACTTATTTTGTCATCTGTTATGATTTTAACTAGAAACAGTTTCATTTAAATTAACATTTTAATCAATGAATTACAATTTTACAATAGTTGTCAGGCTACAATCAACTCAGTTATCAGGTACTTGGTTCCATAAAAAAACAACAAATACAACAATTATATTCAGTCTCTCTTGTAAATGAGTCCTCGTGGCTCAATGGGATGAACCTGTTTAAATAAAGGTTGAATTAATATCTTCTATAGAAATCAAGAATTAATCCAGATGATCTAAGGTAGGCTGGAGCAGATCTGAACTGCTGCATGGAGGACAAGGTGGAGCATTATCCTGCTGAGAACATCAGAAACAGCTTTATAACAGGAGTTACTCTGATCTTTTTTTAACGTGTGTAACGTTATAAAACACTGACATCGCTATATTGACCATTGTATTGCATATAAAAAAAATATAACAAATATGTGTTTGCAGTCTCTTTCCTTCTAAAATTTAATGATAAATGTATCAGCCGCTTCTAAAAACGCTTTGATAAAATGCATAGTCTGTGAAATAATCAGTAATCGGTTAAGTAATCAGTTCGTTACTGCTCAATAATTACTGAAAGACGCCAGGTAAAGTAAGAAAAGTTGATTTTTGTGTTATGTTACGCCAGCTGCTGCTCAAACTGACTGACAGCGATGAGCTGTTTGGAACTATTGAGAGCTGCATGAACCACATGACCGTGTATCGGCGAGTTCAAAGAGTGTCGCAACTCTCTCTTTATAGGGCTCTGGATGAAACTATCCTGAAAATAGTTCCAAATGGTGTTCGCATTATTAATTAGGAGAATATGTTGCCAATCAAAATGGGACAGGTCCCAAAGAAAGGCCTGTTCACTAAAATGTTTCATATCTTTTTTTGAATTAGTCTAGGCTTAGAGCGAGATAATGTAGTGTCCCTGATCACTCCGATAACGCAATGATCGCTCATATCAACTGCAAAAACACCCAACCCAGGAAATTTATGGGGCATATTTGTTAAAAAAGTGGTCTAAAATGGAAGGTCTATCCGGCTAGAAGAATCTTATTGAATTGTAAACTGGTAAGGAAGTCTGGCAAAGCGGACAGAGCCTCAGCTTCAATTTAAATAGTAAAGAAGAGAAGTACAACAGGACAGCAAAGGGTTAACCCTTCACGCAACTGATGCAGCACGGAGCAGAAATCAATTACACTGTAACAACTGAACAAAGAAGTTCTAAAGCAATTAAAATAACTTTTAACACTTTTATATTTTGTGATTGTGACGATTTTACGATGTGACATACTTTGAATTTTAAGCTGGAAGACAAAAGTTGATCGGTGCAGCTGGACAGCAAAGGGTTAACCCTTCCCAAAGCTGCTGCAACCGGAGGGAAATGTGGGGGTGGCAGAAAGCACAGATCAAGACACAGCAGGATGGAGCTTCTCCCTGCACCTAATGATTTAGCAGGTGCTAAATCAATTGAAATAATTTATTTTAAATGAGCAATCCATGCCTCTTTTGTGGCTCATTCATCAATCAGCCGATTGTGTGTCATGTCCAATGTTATTCTGACAAATCGCGAAGAGCGAGTCCGTGAAAGTCAAAACGCGAAGTAGCGAGCGACTACTGTAGCACAAAAATTACAGAACTATATGTTTGGCTATATGTGCCAAAAAAACGTACAGAAGAATAATCAATCTTAATAGTTTGAATGCCTTATAAACATTCACATAATAAACCTTCTTTGTCAGGTCTGTTTAATGACTGGATTGGTTTAGCTGAACCCACCGTGTTGCGTTTGGTGTCGGTTTGGTTCGGCCCTGAGTACAGCTCTCCCAGATGCTGTTGGCCATGTGGTTTCCAATGGCAGCCAGGACCTGTGTAAGCTCTCCAGGCCAGTCATCCAGGTCTAGAGAACGAACCCGGGACAGATGAGTGCCCAGATTCCGATGGATCCCGGAGCACTCGATACAGATGAGCGCACCAAGGTTGAGGCTGGCCCAGGTGGGATCTGCAGGGCAAGAGAGGATACACTGGTTAAAGTAAGAAAGGCAGTTACAAAGCTAGAAATGCTACCTATATAAAAGAAAAAACAAATGATAAAAGGAGTCTTTTGAAAACACTTTAACCCTAAAGAGACAGTGGCAGAGATTTAAAATAGGAACTTACTCAGTGCTTCGCAGTCTACACACAGACCATTGCCCTTGGTGTTTCGGATAGCCTGCAGCGCCACAGCCTCACTCTGACTACTCCTCCGTGCCTGGATACATACATTTTTCATTTTGTTAATCATAACAAGCATTACCTGTATATTCTAATGTGAGAGAGGTTGTGTGTTAGCACAATAAGCATCTCAGCACAACGTTGCTTTCTGTTTCCTTGATGCTGGGCAGCCTGTTGATCTATGATATAAGAATGTTCAAACTTTTATTTAAAAAGGAGGTCTTTTTGTAGGCAGTGGTGACTGGTCAAGGCCTTCGAGGTATTCAGAGAAGCCCCCTGGATTATTTGTCTATATTATACCAGTGTAACGCAATCTAGTTTTTTTTTCTTTCTTTTTTTCTGAGCAGAGTAGTAGTTTTGGGAACCAAATAATAATAATAACAATAGTTTTTATACATGATATTTAGGCAGAATTTCTTCAAATCAGTGAATTTTGATTCCATGACAGAATGTGCAGACCAATAAAACTATTTAGGTGAAATATACACTAATAACCCATTTAACAAACAGCAAATGTAAAATGGTGTTTTTTATACATTAACCCTTGTATTGTCCTTTAACTTTATAAGCATTCATGCTCCTTAGAGGGGAAAATGTTCACTTTATTAACTGCTTAAAAATATATATATATTTTTTTTTTTCTTGATCTTTTATATCCTGATGCATGCTCAATAATCCAGGTAGAAAAATCTAAAAAGTTAAGTCTGGTCCTCTGGATGTTCAAAAAAACAAAACAAAGCAAAGAAAACCAAAAAAGTAGAAACGTTTTGTCTTTCATCCGAAAGACTTCTTCAGTCTGAGGAGCTTATTCAGCTCAGTCTTATAAATAGCATCTTAAGACTTAACTTTTTTAGACTTGATCTTTTATAGTGATCTCAGCCTAAAATAAAATAATAAAGCGTATTTATTTTATTTTTATTCATTAAGGTCCTTTAGTTAAAAAAGTCACATTTCAATATTTAAAAAAAAATCCATAAAATATTTATTTTATGGCGAGCGACCCTCCAGCCCACCAGACCCTTCAGATCCAGTAGCCAAAAACGAGACATTGTTTTTGGCCTAACTTACACAGGTCACTCTGTACTTGGATATGGACTTGTTTTTTTTTAAATAATTTTTTATGTTTTTTGTTTGTTTTGGTAACTTATTTGTGTATAATGCCAGTTATTTTTATTTTTTATTTTTTTGCTTTTCCTGACCCGGAGATACAAGCGAGCTGCTGAAGCACGATGTCTAATGACGTTCTGCGTTCGCAGCCCTGGCGCGTCTGACTGCAGCCTGCATGCATGTTGAACACATTTATTGTACTAAATCTAGGCCTACTTGTGCGACATGCAACTGTGTTTTTGCTCTTTACATTAAAACTAAAATAGTTTTGTCAGACTAGATGAGAGGTGAGACTCCACAGTGAAATCGAGCAGAGGACGTACTCATTTAAACGTAAGTAGAAGCAACCGCTCTGTAATTTTTATAGACTTTCAAAAGTAAAGTTGAGCACCACCTGAGCTAATATAAAATCTAAAATATAGGGATAGAAGAAAAATTAAAAACATTAATGAGGTATGCAGTAGTTTATGACATAATAAATATGGAATTAAAATTTGTATTTACACTTCATTTCAATTATTTCTCCCCTCAGGAACACAAGAGTGCAGAAAAGTTACTGTGAAGTTATGAGAGCATTTGAAACATTTCAGATAAAGTCTTTTAAAAGTAGAATAATTTTTTGGTTTGTCATAATTTTTTTTTCTGCACCAAACTAAACAAATACATAAAAACACAAATACAAACGAATGTGTGGCAGATTTTTCCCCAAAAGACTTTTGTCAGGGGCAGACTGGCCATCAGGAGCGCCGGGACATTTTTTCCCGGTGGTCCGGCTCAGTGACCGCTGAGGGACTGGACCAAGGCTCGGTTCTCGGTTGATATTCGGTTGATATTCGGTTGATATTCGGTTGATATATAGGTTATAGGTTATATAGGTTATATATCGGTTGATATATAGGTTATAGGTTATATATCGGTTGATATATAGGTCGCGCTTGATATTTTAAATAAACGAGCTGCTCTTGCGCCGGACTCACGCTCCCTCCTCTCTCTGTCTGTCTGTCTGTCTGTCTGTCTGTCTGTCTGTCTGTTGTCATAAGCATCAGCAGACAGAGCAGACACACAGATTGCACACCCACACCCGTGGACTGGCGCGAGAGATGTTCGCACGCGGAGCGCAAATGTCTGTACGTTTCTCCGGTTTGGGTCTTAGAGGATGAAAAAGAGAAAAGCTCTGGCTGTGATGCAGCAAAGTGCAGTAAATGAATGTTTGTTTGTAATGGAGCAGGTCATACAGAAACATCCTGGTTCATGCTCAGTAATTCAGGTAGAAAAATCCAACAAAGTTCAGTCAGGTCCTCTGGACAGGTTCTGGAAGTAGAACTGTCCAGAGGACCTGACTGAACTTTGTTGGATAGAAAAGTCTTCAGCCCGTCAGCACAGTCAACTTAATGAGGTTAGTTAAGTTACTACAAACTTAATAGAACAAATGTTTTAGGTTTTTACAAAGGATATTGCAAATTTTAGAATTTGGTTAATAAATAGGATCTGAAAAAAAAAAGTTTAATGCTGAAATGTCCAAGTATTCAGATTATGTGTACCCTTCATAAACGCCACTAATAAATTATCTGATTATTAACATCCTTGTATTATATTATTTTATTTAACCTTTATTTGACACGTTCCATTGAGATTAAGAACATATTTGTTGTTATTTATTATAAATAGTCAATTAGTGAAAATGAATGAGAAATTATGACATGAGCATTTAGTCAAAGTCAAAAGTCGAAATTTCTTTATTTGTCATTCGCACCACATGTGGTACATGACATTGTGTACACAGGGTCCCAGTTAAATCCAAAAAAAAAGTATAAATTGTAAAGAAAAACAATAATAGATCTAAGATATGACTAAGAAATATGCTAAACTAAGAATACACTAAGCACTAATAGTACAAAAACAATACGCTGAACAACAGCAACACAAACATGAGTCTGTGTGAGCAGATGAGTACAAATGAACACAGCAGCATGAAATAAATCAGCAGCATGAGATCAGCAGCATAGATAGTTTAGAGATGGATACAGTTTATTCCATTTCAAAATCTAAACAAAGTTTAGAAAAATGTAAAAGATGATAAAGGCCAGTGGCCAACATGGCAGTTATAAACAGGAAGTACTACATGTTGGTCTGTATGACGGGAACTGCAGGTAAATCCTCCATTATTTGTCACTGTGGTTAAATTAAAGGTTAATGCTAGTTGTGCTTTGGTTTGTGTGTTTAATGTGTAGATATTGTACAAGTTTAGTCTTTGTTTATGATCAGTTAACACTGAACTGATTTTGTACAAAGTGTTTAATAGGATGTGTAATGTAAAAGTTACATTTCTATTTCTTATAGGCTTTGCCCTTTAAGGCTGTCGCTAGTGGGTTTATTCCCTTTGTGCGCAGGGCAGCACTGAAAACTTTAGTCCACACCCACCGGCTATGTGGGCCTCACCCCCGGTCCGTATAAATTACGGTGAGACCAGGTAATCGGCTCCCATTTTTTCTTCAGCCAACCAGCACTATTTATCGAGAAGAAGAAGATGTCCAGCACCAGCACCATCCGCCTGTGCCTGTCCTGCCAGACCGGCTACATTATGAGCTTCGACCAGCACGACATCTGCGAAGGATGCCTGGGTCCCCGCCACGCCAACCTCACCTCCTCCTGCCGTCCCTGTGACCTCCTCCCTCCCAAGTAGAAGCAGAGATGAGCAGCCATGTTCAAAGCTAACATGGAATAGTGTTTTTCTGTGGCAGGGACTGTTCGCTGGACGACGCCTTCGCCTTTTTTGATGCTGAGTCACGTAGTGAATTGAATGATTCCTCGAGAAAAGGCGATGTCAGCAGCAGCCCTGTTGCTCATTCCCTCCTGGAGAGCGTAGTGTCGGAGAGGGGGGACTGAGCGGATGCTCACCCCCAAGCCCCTCTCTCCAACCGAGTTCACCATTGTTCATTTCAGGCGGCCGCGGCGAACAACAATGTCGCTCTGCTGGCTTACAGCATTTCGAAGAGGCTAGAGAACACAGACCTGCCAGAGGAGACTAAGAGCTCGCTTTGTAAGGTTGCTGACATCATTCTGAACATGTGCGCCACCTCTGTGGTCTGTCTGTTCAGCATCGCCGCCTGGATGACAATGATCCAGAGGTCCACCTGGCTTGGTCTCTCTCCATCCATGCCAGAGAGGCTGCAGCGGGACCTGCTGGAGGGCCCCATCACCACGGACACGCTGTTTGGGGCCAACTTGGAGGCCATGCTCGAAAAGTCCAAGAAGTCCAAGGAGGTGTTGGAGACTGTGTGTCACCTGATCAAGCCGCAGCCCTCCTCCCGCCCTCCCGTCCACTGGAGGAATCACCGTGGCCAGCGACAGCAGTAGAGAAGCTCCACGACTGCAGCAGCAACTCCTCGCCCCTCTCCTCCGCCGGCCCCTACCGCCAGAGAACAGCCCTTCCCGGCGCGCCAATCAGCGACTCAGCACTTCCCCAGAGGCTGTCAACAAGCGCCGCCCTGGTCCAATCAGCTGCAGGGCCCATGGAGGAGGCAACACAAAAAATGACTCCTTGTGGGGAATGTGTGTGTGCACGATGATGAATTATGTTTTACAATGAAACAAAAACATCATTCAGTGAGTAAGGTTTCTTCTGATTCCAGCCTGACTTTCAGATCAAATTATCTCACAGCGGCCTCTTTTCACACATTCCCTACACTAAACAAGCCGGTAACCTCAAAACAGGGTTTTAAAAGGCACCACAGCTCGGGAAATCACACAAAACACTCTCCTGACACATCAGATAAAAATGATTTTTTTTCAGCAGACAGTCCGGTAAAAACTCTCGCTCTCAGCTAGAGCCCGTGTTGTTTTCGGACATTTCTGACCACAGCGGGAGTAAACGTGTTTCTCCACGACAACTGCAGCCTCCATCCAAACGGCGTCTCATCTCTAAAAGCA